AGAAATTCCAGCAGGGGTTCATTTGTTGAAGAAACATAGGTGCAGGTGCTGGTTACATAGGTGGCTGCTGTGGAACAGCTGCTGTGTGGCAGATTGATCCTTTGTCAAACAGACAGTGACTCATGGCTCCTAGGCCTACTTGCTGTTTTATCTAGATAGGCTTCTGTCCAGAAGTGCCTTCTGTACCGTAGACAACAGGCTTGAAATCCATACAGCCTTAAGAATCCCAGACAACCTATGCCATTGTGTTTTCTTCTAAAGCAACATTACTGCATTTTAAAAGGTATGCTAAGACTTCAAAGCAATTTGCTTCCCATGCACATACCATGGAATGGGTAATATTTGTACATTGCACACATAATCTGGACTATAGTGGAACAATTTTTCTTTTGGAGTGTTATGGATAGACAACACTGAGCACCACTCCAAGACTCAAAAACATTCTCTATTTTTCTAAGAGTAGCAAATCTGAGACTCAGCAGGGAGACAATCACTGGTGCAATAGAAGCACAGTTAAAAGATGCCAGCACACTGTTAATAGAAGTATTTGCTCCACTGGGTATTTTGTTGACTGCATCCATACCAATATGCATGCTTCCACATATGCTTTACTATTATACACAGCCATAAAGTAAACAGGAGAAATCAGTAGACAGCCAGATATTCTTCAGAAACCCTGCAGTCTTCTCTCCTGAGAAATAATAGCAGCACAATGAGTAGAAAATCTTGCAGCCATCAAAGCAGGATGATTACTCCCTTTGCTGGTCTCAGATTTGTCTAGTGGGAAAAAACAGATTGGATGGATGCACACACTGTGCCAGAACACCCTGCTTCTGCTTGTATCACCCCATGCAGTACTGCATAACTAAGCATCAGCTATCAGGGCATAAACGTTCCAGCTTTTTTTCTGCAGGAGTCATGTTCAGAGTATTACAGGAGCAGTGACTACAAGCTGATAGTATCTAAGGCCAAGAGTTTCCTGTGGCACAAAAGATCTACCTTAGTTTATGGAAAAACTTTTCTATTCAGGGTCTTAAGCAGACTGGGACACTGGGTTGTTTCTGCCTTTTTCATAATCTATTTTTGACTGGTAAAACCTGTAGAAGAGCCCTGGCTCAATCCCCGAGTCAGCTGGTGAATACTGAAGGCACAATGAAGGCCTCTTCAATAATTCCCTGGAGCTGAAGCTGAGTAGTTTGGCTCTCTATCGAAATCCAGTATGAATGCACTAATGTACTGTCACAAAATTCTGCTGGTCTCTGGAACAGGGAGCTCAGGGTTTTCTCGCAGGGGTCAGGCATATCTACACTGCTACTTTGCATAGACGAGCATTGTCTCCTTCTACTATTAGGCAACAAAAATAGAAGATGAGATCTGCTGTAACAGGAATTGGCAACAAGATAACAGGCAAACACAGGAAAAAGAATATCAGGAGAGAACAGAAGAGTAAACCTCACTCAGAAAGTCCTAATATACCTCTTTCCAGACCTTCCTCACAATTTCCAGACTGGCAAATCAGCACAGTAATCTTTCCTGTGTGACACACAGACCTTTTAGTCCACAACTATAGCCGTTCACACAGAGAGAACAAGAAGTTGCTGCAAAAGCATCCCTCACAACTCTTATGGCAGGAGCTGAAGCACATCACAAAGAGGCCCTTGTTGTGGCTGGGCCTGTTCCCCAGGTTTGATGCCCAAGTTAGTACATTCGCTGGGGACAAGAGAGGCAGCTGGCATGACTCAGCACCACAAGAGAGTCAGAGATCTCAGCATAGAAAGGTGAAGTGTGCAGCCAACTTGTCTCATGGCTGCTATTCAAAGTGTAAACCATTGCTCTATTTTACTAAATGTCTGATTATCAATGTTATGATTCATGACTAACCACATGTGCTGTATAAACAAAGGCCCCCAACTTTACATGCTTCATTTGTATGAAGGAATATGAGAAACCTGACTGTTCCTCATGAGGAGAAGAAGGGAGAAATAAAGGATGGAAATAGAGAAAGTAGTATTTTTCTTCCCACAGGCTTGGTTCATGGAAGATCTATATCAGTTTTCAGATTCATACAAACATGGCTGAAACAACCATGTTTAAAACCACCTCTGGGTGTAAATGACTGTGACTTTGCAGACTGCATGAACCAAACAAAACCCTGCTCAAATTCAGGCTCACACTAGAAGTTTTCCAATCATTTAACACAGTCCAAAATTTTAGGTTGCATCATGAGCACCTGACAGCTCTGTTTAGACATCTTCAAAGCAAAAGGCACAATGAGTGAAAATTCTATCTTTTTTAACGGCTTTTGAGGTTGTAATGCTTCCTCTCACCCTGGTCTCTCACCTTCTTGGTGCATTGGAACTGTATTTACTACCTGAACTGAAAAGTTAACTGCTGCTTGCAGCCACACAAGAAACGTGCATGGAAAACACCCCTTACCCCTGACGTTGCTCCACGGAACTCATTCAACTTTTTCTTGAGTTGCAGGCAGTGCTCATAGTCATTTCCCACATCACCTACATTAATCATGACTTCCTGAGGAAATAAGCAACAAACAAATATTTAGGCTAAGAGTACAAGAACACAGCAACTCCCAATGATTATGCTGATGCAGTAAGTTCTGTGATTTGCCTGTAAGTCACTGACCTACAGCTTCTGAAGTAGTCTCTTCTGATCTTTAAACAATTATGAGACTTACTCCCAACTCTCTTTTCAGTTTATTACCGATTATGGAAGCTACCTCTGAATGAAAGTGATTCTTCCTTCCCTCCTACAAAGAGAAACTTTCAGATTTGATATATGAGAGTGCAAGCCAGTTGCCAAGTTCTTCAAGTCTCTTCCATTCTAGTCTGCTTTAATTTCTCTGTCTCAACAGAGACGTAGGAGATGGTCTCCAATAATCACAAACTCTTCATTTGCACATTTTACAGGAGAACATGTGCTAATACTGTCCAACTAACTTTGGTATAGGCAGACTCCAGGAAATTTTTAGAATTTATTGAATAATTCCTTTCATATTTTCTGTAGAATGTGTCATGATTCTTACAGACAAAAGCCACTAGAAATACCCTGGAAGATGACACTTTTATCAGAATTTCATTGCTAAGCAGCAAGTCTTTAGTGTGCTGCTTAGCTAAATACTAAAATCCATTTACCTTCTCCCTGATCCAGGCTTCCACCTGGTTCACCTTTTGGAGAAATTCTAGGAAGTCCCGACTGTCCTCCAGCATCTTTCCACGAGCAGCAACAGCTCTCTTCAACTTCTCCCAATGCTCCTGAAGCAAGCGGACTTCGCGACGGATCTCTCCTGATTTTGGGTGGCCTTTTGATATCAGGGCTTCTCCTTTCTTCACATTCAGAGAAAGAAATTAGAAATTAAGATTGTCACTAATTTTTAAGGGGGTTATCATGTTACATGACCTTTCTAGAAGGATTCTCTCACTTCCCTAGCCTGGACTGCTCAACAGATTACAAATATAAATTCTTACCACTCAAATGATACAGCTCAGTTGGAAACCTTTTACATCTGGAGGGAATCTAGAATCACAGAACACTAGGGTTTGAATATTTCCTTGCCAAGAATGACATTCATGGAGTGGAAGCACCAAGAGAGATTTTACAGATGACGGCACATTTCAGCCATATGATTCACCCAGTTTCAACAAGAATATTCACAAATGGGGCATGAAATCCTGCTTACTTTTTGTAGGAGTAAACAGCCCAGGCAAGGAAGAAGTCAGTGATATTTTCAGGTCTATAAGAAAATCTATTCAGACTATAAGGAAAGACGGAAGCTCTCCAGATAGAGCAATTAACATATCTCCCTGTTGTAAATTAACAGCATTATATTTCCATGGCATAGCAATTGAGTTCTTGTCACACAAATAGGATAATTGATATAGAAGCATTTCATCTATCCGTCCTTCTTTGGATAAGCAGCAATAATCTGTAAAAACACTAGCAGAGTGACAGAGTTACCTTATTAACAGCTGTGATAATTTCTTCATTTGCTAGAATCTCTGCCTCAAAGACCTGATGTTTCTGCAGCAGCTTCATTTTGTCCTGCAGATTGCTAGGGTCTTGTATGGAAGGATCCTCTAACTTCTGCATGCGTTCACTGATCCAGTCTTCTGCCTGCAGCAGTGTGAGGCATCCAAGTTAGCATGACAACTACATGAGATCCTGGGGCCTTCTCCCAGGACATGTCATTATTCTATGCAAGTGTCTATGCCTGGGCTAGGCAGATTGAGCTGGGAGCTTGATAGCTGGAGTGGCTCTCCAGTTTCTGAACTATTCTACTTGATAGGATATAAAAGCAGGTAGGAATGAAACTAATTTTTATCTGACCACAAGAGTAATGAAAAATTCCTTGAATACCTCAGATTTTATCACAAGCCATAAACAGATTATACAATCTTCTAGATTATATGCAGAGAATCCTTGAGCAGATATTAAGCCTTAACATGTTAGACATTTAAAATGAGATTATGACCACTGAGTCTTGGGATTTAAGGCTCTGAGTTTCATCTCACATCTCTGTCATTGACCTACCTTTAAGGTGGATTAAGATTCTTTAGAATTCTGTGCCTCACCTATAAAACAGCACTAACATTTCCTGATCTCGGTGATGTTGTGAGATCTAAATGAAAAATGCAAAGTAAATAAAGCCTTATTGATGGGGCCAAGCACTAATTAGATTATTTGAGGGGAAATACAACTCTATTTGCTTTTATACTTCATAAATTTCAAAATGGTCTGGTTGGGAGTATTAGACTCAGACAAGCAGGAGATTTGTGAGAGCTAACAATGCAAGGGTTATGTGTTTCTCTTAGGAAATTATTTTCAGGGGATTTAAATGAATGCAGAATAAAATGGATAACAGGATAGGGAGTTTTCCAAAATCTTCTTTAAAATCTGCTGAACTTTAGACCATAGCACTGAAGGAAATATTTTCTATCTATCAAAACACTGAGAACTGACAACTTGACATAACTGATCCTGTTGTCCTCAGAGCACTGTAGTAATGTAATGTTTTGACAACAAGATCAGCAAATTGAAGGCAGCTTTATTAGTTTCAAATCATTTTGGCTGTCCTTGTGGAACTGTGTGTTACATGTGCACAATGCTTGACAACTGCAGGATTTTCTCAGTTAACTAACGATTTGAAGTTTTGTTTCAGCTGCTGAAATTCTATAAATAAACACAGAAATAGCTTTCATAAGCAGCATGCTCTCCAGAAACTGTTTCTCTCCAAAGCACAGTTAGAAACTCAAACAGGAACCTTATGTCAAGATTGCCCAGAAGAACACATTGTCATCTGCTGTTTTCATTTCTGACACCCTCCTCAATGGCCTTCTCCCATTACCAGCCACACATTAACTCTTCAATGTCACTGAAGTGACTCTTCATTTGAATAGAAGAGGCTCATGCCTACAGTTAGAATGAGAAATAAATGAATCCCCTGTATATAGCCACTTACAGGTCAATTTCTCTTCTATTTTTTAATTAGAAGCAATGGTTTAAGGGCAGACAACATCTGCACTCTTAGTGGCTTGGTTTATTTTAAGGCTTACTTAAGATGGCTCTAGAGAGTGAGAGATCCTTCTCCTGGCCCCATGCTCACATTCAGATGTGAACCAAAGTTGATTTGTTGTCCTAAGATCTTTCTGTGGAAAGACCTAATGGTCGTCTGGACAGGCATCTTCATTTTATTGAAGACAACAGTAAGACAAGTGCCATGCTCAGTGTAGAGACATGAGACCAGTCTTACTTCTATGGAACTCATAAAAAGTGTGGGCACTACCAATTTAGAAAGCTACATTTTCAGACTATCAGTTACTGTAACCTCATGAGCACAAACTTTTTGTAAATTACACTGATTTTTAATAAAAGAAATATTTAAAGCTTATAAAGGAGTGTGCCTGTTCCAGACATCTAGAGACAACAACTAATTCTCTCTCTCACTCATCTGAGATAAAGAAGTAAATGTTTTTTTAGTCTCTTGTAGAGGGTGAAAGGGAAAGGAAGCGCCACTGATATGATGAGCAAGTTTCAGGGTCAGCATAAAAACTCAGAGCCAGCTTTAGAAGTCAAAACGTTCAACTTTACGATCTTTCCTCTGCAATAATTTAAATACATGTTTCCAAGTAGCAGCTTGCTCATTTGCCTTCCACATTAGCACTGGTCTACAGACATTGTGACAATAAGGTAATCTATAAGTCTGTCTCACTTCTTTGGGACTCAAAAAGCACCCTATTTCTACTGTAGGAGGGTGTGTCCTATTTTGTGAGCTGAGTGTAATCTCTTGAGTTAGTCATTGCGGGTTTTATGCAGAAAAAACCCAAACTCCTATGTCCTGCAGCAGTTAGCCTTCTAAGCAGATTATATGATGTTGAGTTCTCTGTCCTCTCATCAGTAATTGCAGACTGTGTCATCTTTTTACTAATGTGTGCAGCTCTCTGTGTAAGTGCTTCTAGAGAGTAACCAGGAGACTTTTAATGATGACAGTGATCACTAATTTCTGCTGAAGCAAAAAAATTATGCTTTATCAATAAAAATTACTTAACATTCTTGCAGGAAGGAGAGTTTTCAGAAGAGTGGGACCTGAGCTATGGATCTTGTCCTCTTAATAAGTAAGAATAACCAATGATCTCATTGATTTCACAGCTAAACTCAAAACTCATCTCTGATTTTAACTTCCCTATGGGGACAATTCTTATTTGTGAACATGTACACACCTAGAACATCATTAAATCAAATTAAACATTCCATTCTACCTAACAAAGAGAGAGAAAGAAAAATATTGCAGTAAGATTTTTTTATTTTTCTTTTTAATTCCTTGGTGGCATTCACATTCTACAGCAGTAGGCAATGAATTTAGATCGGCAATGTAAATGAGCACATAACCTGAGAGCAAAAACTCTCTTGGATGAATTTATGTGGAGAAAGTGAATGAGAAAAGCAAAATGTTCCCCACTATGCAGGGCCAGATCCTCTGCTCTAAGTATGTGATTCAAGAATGAAGGGGGACCCCAGTCCAAGCACGGATTTGACCATTACAGAGGGATGGGGAGAAATGCATAGGTATTCCTACCTAATGGGTTGATTATACCTCCAGGAGGGCATAGACAGTTTCTCTACCAGAGAGGATGTTGGCAGTTCTGGGAACTTTCTGTCAGAGTTATATTGCTCTTTTGAAAATATTATCACTGGGTAACACCCCCTCCACTCCACTCTGCTAGTCCAAAAGGTGGCTACTACCGGTGGAATTTCATTACTTTCATATAAAGTGATAGTAAAAGTATAGTTAAATCATACAAGTTAGTGTTTGGGTGTATAAATAATTTCTGATAAAGTTTACTAAAAGAAAAAACAACCAGAAAAAAAAGAAGTGTAGCTCTGGCTTTGTAGTGTGGCCAAAGAAGAGGGTATTTAAATGTCTGACTGTTTGGGGTAGGAGGAGTTCCAAATACATTGTGCTGTAAATGGAATTTTAGCAGCCTTAGATTATTCTCTTTCTTGAAAAAAAACACCAAACAACCCCCCCCCAAATTAAAACAAAAAAAACCCCAAACCAAACCACACAAACACAAACAAACAAAAACCAAACCAAAACAACAACAACAACAACAAAGAGAAATTTTGTTGCTGGCAGCAGCTGTGTTACAGGCATTCATTCTCTTTTGGTGATGATCTTAACCTGACCAGTGTCAGGACACGTGTCTTTTTCATGGGCTGGGAGGTGACCAGCACCTGCAGTTTTTTCTTTAAATCATGGAGGATGTTCTGTGGGATACAGCAGCAGAAGGGGTGGATAGCAAACCAGCAAGTGTTTGCAAATGTCCGCCTGGGCCTATGTGCTCTTGTTTATGCCAGTACACCGGATATGCTAGCACATTTTCAGTCACACACATTTTGCTGCCCTTTGAAAGACTGACGTAGTATGCCTTTCCAACAGTACTGTCAGGAACAGAGCTACTCAGTTACAGGACTAACTCAGAACAAGAGACAAACAGAGATCAACATATACTGCAGAGACCAGTCAAAGCGAGCACTTCATCCAGTAGAGGGTAGGCAGTTCCGCTGCCTTCCAGCCCCATCCCAGTCTAAAACCCTCTTACCTCTTCCAAGTTCTGGTAGAAAAGTGCCAGAAGAAGGGCAATCTGCAGCTTCTCTCTCCTGCTCTGGGATAGATCCTTGATCTGACGCTTCCTGTCATGAATGACATTCAGCTTATGCTGAATCTTTCGCCCTTCCAGTCCATCAGCCTTTTCCAGCCTGCTTGCCTGTTCTTGAAGAGACATCATCTGAGGAGACAACAAATCTGAAATTATTTTTATACTTCCAAGTGGTGTGAAAGAAACAAAATCCAAGCTCCTTTCCATACCTAAAAGATTTTCCTTTTTTTCTGTAATAAACCAAGAATAGCAGGGAGAAGTTAATCGGCATTCCCCCTCACCCGGTACTATATTACACCTATGACATTATTATCATTGCTCTCTGTGGTGGATCCTGGCTACTTAAATGAATTGAAGCTGTAGCTCCAGGAGTCTTTATGTCACTGATCAACTGGTGCAAGAAATCATGCACCATAAGCATGACACTCATAAATGCCAGTGCTCAAGTTTTACTTCTTTGTGGAAATCAGGTGTTGGAAGGTAGCTCTCAAAATAAGCAATCCGTCTGGCAGGGAGCTGGCAAGAGTTCTGGGAGTTCATTCCTTCTGGGGAACCCAGGCATAGCCCCAGGTTTAAGTTTAGCCCTAGCCTGGGTGAGTTAGAGCAGTGGCTATCAGGCAGATTCATTTACATGAAGGTGAACAAATCAGTATCTATTCCAAAGTTATGGAGATGCAAGCCATTATACACCAAATGCATATTTAAATAGTTTGACCTCCTGTATTTTACTTGCTATAAAAGTCACTATTTTTTTAATGAAAAAACCAGAAACTTCTGATATCCATGACACAATAGGGCCTGCTTTAAATATTTCTTCTTGTAACTCCCACTATTCAATACACTGAGTGGCCCTGGTGGCCTAGTGGTTAGCGTGCAGGACTTTCACTGCTGCGACCATGGGTTCGAGTCCCCGGTCTCCTGGCCTGATGGAGGTCGTTAGCCCTGTGTGGCCATCCATCTATGAGAAGGACACTCTAAACAAACCTACGTCCTGAGGACCTCACTGCCATTGTCCAAGCTTGCTTGGCCCCGGCAGATGAACCTTAGGATTAAAGGGTGGGCTCAGTTCAGCGCAGGCTGTGTCTCACCTAAAAAATCCATTGCGCAGGCTGGAAAGGTAAAAAGACCTTTCCCCAAATCTTCGTTCGTGAAGATGGGCAAGACAATACAGGGAGGCCCTGGGTGTGGAGTGTTTTAACACTTGTTCTCCAATGCTCTGCCTCTTATTTCCCTAGGCATCCTCATTTTCTCTTTGGTTCAAGCATATCAGGCATATCATGCCTGTCAGCAATTCAATGTGTTAGCATATTAAAAAAAATTATATATATATATATATATATATATATATAAATTCTAGCTCTTAGTCTGGTAGAATATTTGTTGTTGATTTTCGTACCTTCTCATCCTGTGATGCCAGAAGCTTCTCAAAAGCCTCATGTTTCCTTATCAGTTGCTCTACTTCATCTACAGAGGTTCCAAGGTCACTGCTTTTCAAATAAATCTATAAAAAAAGTTCATTATTTTTCTCAGTGGATTAATTGTCACATAAACTTTATTCATAAATGGGAGAAGAGGTATTACTCTGCTGTTGAGAGTACATTTGGGAGGGAAAGAAAGGAACAGGAGGCAACTGAAATTGGAAATTAATTAGTAGAACTCCATGGTCTTGAGCAAGAAAGAGAAGCATTAACAGGTCCATCTGAAGAAAGTGACCTGTCACTGCTTATTATAATCACTAAGTCACAAGGCAGTAAATTCCAGAGGTCTAAGCCATCCTTGTAATCTCAGGTAAGATCACTCTCATGTCTGACAGATGTCCATATGATTCCTTCTCAGAAGAGTTCCTGTAACAGACACTTTGCAGCCTCCCTGGGCAATTTATGCCAATGCTTCACTACCTTAACTTCATTACCTTAAATTAGCAGGATTTTCCAAATATCTATCCTGAAAATGCATGGCTAGCACTACACCTTGCTATATACTGCCATCTTCATCACATGAAGGATGATCATTCCTTTTACATCTGCTTCAGCCTTGTACATGTTTGTAGACATTGCATATTGGGATTTCTGTCTTCTCTAGGCTAAAACTACACTGATCTGATCAATTATTCCACAACAGCTGTGTCTTCTTGATTCTGTTTATTCCTATTTCTCTCTGGATTTTCTCTATTTCTTCTTATTTTGAAACTTGATGAAATAACTGTCAATAAGCAATAAGACTGCCGGAGTGAAGGCTGTGAAGACAGCAGAGCATTTATATGTGCCTTTCGAGCTGCAATCTTCAGCATGTGTCTGTATATGGTGCTTATCTTTTATACAATACCATGAACTCAAGTTCACCTTGCAATCTACTATAAGATTCCAGAAGCTTTTCAGAAGAACTGCTGACAGACCAGTTTGACCCCATCCTGTATTTAAGCAGCTGATTATTCCTGAAAAATGTCATAGCTTGCACCTGTAGCAAGTGCATTACATCTGTTATATTTTCAGGCCATCTTTCCAACTTGTCTGCATTAATTTTATTTACTGTCTGTTCTGTCAGTCTCCGATGCAGAAAGACTTTAGTCTAAAATAATAAGTGCAGTTTTAAAGAAACTGACCTCTGCACTATTTGCTTTTAACACTGTGAGAACCTTTTCCAACTATTCCAACTAATCTCTAAGGCACTGCAGTGTTTCCTGATTCTGTTCTGGTGTTAAGAAGACTGACTGCCCAATTACTTCTGCCATGCATTCTGTTATATTTGGTTTTGCCAAATGCGGAAGAATAAACAATGTAGTTATCTATTATCAAGAAAAAACTATGCTTTTCTCCAGACTAATAGGAATGTATTATTTTCCAGTGGATTTAATTGCCCACATTTTTTTTCTTATTCAATGATGAGACAACAGCAAGGCAAAAACCTCAATTAGAGGCTCTGATGGGACATGAGCAAAAATTACCCATGAGCAAGGTTCACACCAAAGTGACTATGACTGGACAGACCTGGGGAAATCAGACTGTTGTGAGGGATTACATTTATCAGCAGTGTGTAATGTGTAATCCACTTTGTGAGGTCATGGAATCATAAATATTTGGACAAGGATGAGAATTTTCAACCAGTAACTCTACCTGAGTAAAGTGCAATTAATGGAGATGGGAGAAGAATTTGAGATCAGTGATACAGTGTGAAAGAATTAAGAGGAAGGAAAGAAACAGAATAGAATCAGTGAAACACAATTGCTAATAGTTTCAGAAAAGGGCTGGTAAATGACATATGTAAATCCATGCCTTAAAACCACAGATATGTGCAGAAAAAAATAACATCTGGAGAGGTCTTTCTTGCTTTGCTAAACATTACAGTTCTGTAACAGTCTTACAGTGTGTTTTTTATGAGAGGTAAAAGATATTCTTTGGCAGCTACTTTAGAAAACCAGTCATGATGTTAATTTTCTGCACAGAAGTATTGGATGACTGTTTAACTCCACAGAGCATCTTCTGAAGGAGAGGTTTCCCAAGCATGAACACATGTGCAGGGCAATTCACACGTACTTGTCAGGGTCTGAAAGCACTAACAGGCTCTGGTGGTTCTGACTGTCCCCTGGATGGACGTCCTGCTCCCATCTGGGGGTCCCTCTGAGGCTCGGCCCTGGCCACGAGCCCTGCCTGAGCTATACTGAGGGGAAGTCTGAGCCTTGCCCTGGTCCTCCTGGACAGACCCCACATTTAAGTCACTACCTCGCCTTGATGCTTTGATCTTCAGCTGGTTGATGGACTTTTTTACTGCTGCCACCACTCAGCCCTCCTTGGCAGCTGTGGATAAGAGGACTGACAGCCAGACTTGACCTGATGTTCTGGTCCATTTTTCAGGAGTGAATATTTTGCATATAGAAAAAAATACACAGAAGACTATCATGCCCAGGCTGGATGTACAAACTGCTCTATACAAATCCATACCAAATATCAAAAGAAAGGTAAATAAATCTCATCACAGTAATCCCTGTCAAGAAGACAGTGAAGACAACAGGCCTAAGCTTATAGTACGTCTGTTCCATTAATCACCAAAATGCCTAAAGAAATATATCAATGCCTCTGCTATGCCTCTGTCTGTTAAATACAACCCCCATCAGAAGGCAGATACTCTGTAATTCAAACTTTAATCCTTTGATCTATCCTACTCATCAAGTGTATGAAATTATATATATTTTTTTTGAGAGTGTTACTGGATTTTGTTTGCTCTTTTGAAGAAAGATCTCCACATGTGTGGGCTCCAAGTCTGTCTACCGTAATGCCTTATTAAACCACCTTATTATTACCATCTATATTTACACTGCTGTTACTAACACAGAAATAAAAAGTTATCAGCTGAATCTAACTCACTGTTGTTTGGAGTACACAAACATACAGCCACATGCTGTATCTCTATTTTGAAGCTTTAAACACTGCTTAAAAATACTGTAGCTTCTTTACATTATCTACCATTTTTGGTCAAAAAATTTTTACCTCCAGGACTTTTATCTAGTAACTCTTAGCAGTGAAACTGGTACCTGAAGAAATGGTCAACTATTAGTTTTCCTGCTCATAGACCTGTGATGAAAGAAAAACACAAGGGATATCTACCGGTAAAGGTGGTTAGATTCCTTGAAGAAGAGAACAGAGACATTTCAGAGCAGGGGTGTGGGGTGGTGAGTCATAAGCAGTTGCCACTGGAGTTCAGCGCCTTGCTCCCACTGAAAATCACTAAACACAAATGACACAGCATTCAAAGCTCGATTCCTTCAGATATTACAGCAGTGGGAAAAAGTCCTCCTGATCACTGAAAGCTTTGGACCAAGTCCTCCAAGCAGAAGCCTGTGCAAATGCCAAAACCAAGGCTTTGACACTGAGAAAGAAAACTGGTGCACGAAAAGAAAATTGCTGCAAAAGGAAAGTGGCTGCATACATTACAGGAGAGGCAATGGCACCAATCTTAGAAGAAAGCAGCCCCTGTAGCACTAACAGTGCTACTTGGAGAGCTGCTAAGGTAAAAATTTTCCATTCCATTCACCTTTTAACCAGAAATCTTATGACAGCCATTGCTAGAATCAGAACCACAACATTTTTTTCATGTAAGTATTTGTTATACCAGTCTGAAACTAGAATGAAAATTGGCTCCCGTGCCACAATGCTGGCCTGTGGCCAACTACATACCTTTCTGGCAGATTTTTAGAAAGGTCCCCAAACACCTGCTTTGAATAAGACACATTGATTTCTACTATACAACACTGCATGGCTCTCCTCAGGTAACCTTCCAGGGTCTCCCAGAGCAAACACTATATATAAACTTTTTTTTCAAGTTTATTGCTATTATGAATCATGGCCCATCATCAGGAATTTTGCTCAGCCACGAAAAGCACCAAAGACTTGGCCACGTACTGTAAAAGGGACTAGTTTTTAAGAGAAGACTTGCAAAGATGCTTAAAACCACAAAATGGTTTTTGAGATTTTAAATGGAGAATGGAACAAATAGTCAATTTATTAACGATGTAAAGCACAGAAATGGAGGTTTTAACCCTACTTCACTGGAGGTTTTCTCTATTTCTGAGCTCATTGCATAGTTTTCAATACACAGTCATATATGAACTCTTGCATACAAGTTAATGCAGAACTAAAAATGAAGTCCAGTTTAAAAAAAAAATTCATTTAAAATAAGTCGGTACTATATACACACTTATGTGACAGCTTATGCCAGCTCTAGCTTTTAAAGAAATACTGAAGAAACATTTTAATCATTAGCCCAGCTATGGTCTCTGGATACCACAACTTCACATTTATACATACTGGAAGCTGATATAGCCCCAAAAGAAATTTGTATTCCAAGAAGACTAGTTTCTATTTCTCTAGAATAAAATTTATTTTAAGTATTTCTGCAAATTCACTCCCTTCTCCTGCTCTTCACAGTATAACAAGCTTCACAGATTTTGCCCCTCACTGCCTGCCCTTGGCTTGCTGTTGAGATTGCTGGCACTCCACAGAAAATCCTTCTGCTCTAAACATGCACTAAAAGCCTGAATTACTCCCAGTTTTAAAAGCCTTCACTTAAAGCATGTAATCAAGTCCAAACTATCTGCCCAAATAGATAACAACAAAGTTTGATTTGATTTAATTCTGATAGAAGTAAATAAAAAAGAAAAAAATTGATATTTGTAAATAATTTTGTAAATTTGTAAATTTGTAAATAAATGTTTGATACCATGACTATATATAGTACACAAAAATGTTGTACTATGCTTCATTTCAGTAAAAGTTATAACAAGGTATCATACTATAACCATAGGTGGAATAAAATGCACTGAAGTTGTTTATAAAAAGAAAACACACACTTTTTCTATCACACTGACATCACTATATTATTGGCTTCTCTCCTCACAATCTATATGCAAAATTCTAATATTAAATGTATTTAAAATTTCCTTCCCTCCTCCTCCTGCATGCTGTCTTATGGCATAAGAATATAATTATCTCATATTGGAAATGTATA